CCTAGAATAGTCCATCGAGATATCAAGCCTAGCAACATCCTGCTTGATGATGAGCTTAATGCATATCTCTCGGACTTTGGATTGGCCAGACTTTTAGAAGTTTCAGAGACTCATGCCACAACAGATGTAGCAGGAACGTTTGGTTATGTGGCGCCAGAATATGCAACCACGTGCAGGGTATCGGACAAGGCAGATGTTTACAGCTTTGGTGTTGTGTTGCTAGAACTAATGTCAGGGAAGAGATCCCTGGATCCATCGTTTTCTGAGTATGGGAATGGTTTCAATATTGTTGAGTGGACGAAGCTGCTGATCAAGGAGGGGCGTCCTTCTGAGCTTTTCTCTCCGGAACTGTGGGAAGCTGGACCTAGGGAGAACCTCTTGGAAATGCTAAGGCTTGCATCAACCTGCACGGTGGGGACACTTTCTGTTCGATCATCAATGAAGCAAGTTGTTGAAAAACTGAAGCAGTTGAGATCCTGAAATCATCTGCCACACGAAGTCGGTGCTGACCAGAATTTCCTTGACTTGGTCCACATGTTGAGGTGAGGTATCTACCACGTTGGAAATTTTGTATCCTTTCCATCTATAGAGTAGCATCGTAGTCAACACGCAGTCCTTAAGTATCTGTTAATATTATGCACTTCTTTTTGGCAGAAAGATCTGGAGTACAGAAGGTAAAGCAAGTCAAGTCATTGTCTGCAATCTATGAAGTAGGAACCAACCGCAAGCTGATTTTTTCACAATCAAGGAAAATGAAATGTGTAATTGATTGCTTTGCTTGAGGACTAACAATAAGTACTCAGTAATCTCGAGCTAACAGGGTACAGAATGTAGAAAGCTGTTGTATTGTACATATGTAGAAACAAGTAATTCATTCTTTGAAGCACACGAAAGTTTGTTTCACAAATTTAGATTCACTTTGTTCATCTCAGCTTAAGCAATACTATGATTACAGACAAAAAAAAATACAGTTTATGCAGACAAACTCTGCTTAACTCTTGTCCTTTCTTTACATTTTATTTTTATTTTTTTCGGTAAAATGCAAAATTTTATCTACCCTAAATCACAATGAACATTTTGTATTTTTATTGCCATGAACATTGTTTGATTGATAGGCGAGGGTGACACCTCAATTTTCTACTGCTTTCCATGGGAAGAACCTTTTGCCTTTAGGTTTTTCAGTACAGAACAGAAGCAAGACATCATTTTTGCCAAAAAAAAAAAAAAGAAGAACAAGATATTTTATTAATAATAGGTAAACCGAAGAAATTTAAAAGATGTGTGAATCCAAAATACATAGGTTAACACAGTCAAAGGTGAAAACACTCAGCATAAAATTAACAAATACACCGACGCCTCCATCTCACACCAGGCCGCAACGAAATCGTCACCTGCACATTTCTCTCAAAGCCCATCAGCTTTAAAATTGATTTACTAATAATATGGATGGAGCATGGACAGAGTAAAGTGACTTCACTTACCCATACTCAAGGAGTAGCAACACCCTGTTTTGCCTTGAGGACAAGCTCCTCTGTGGTTACCCCAATGGTCTCATTGGCACGTTTCAGTCCCACGCCGTAATATCGTCCAATACTATCCTGAATTAACAACATATACTCTCAGCTCAGGCTCAGGAGAAATAACTGTGATAAATGTTTGTAAATGGAGAAGATAACTACATGTTTTCTGTATGTCCAGAAACATGTACTTGACATCTGGTAAGAATTGGGTTCAATCCCTTCAGAATGACATTACAAAATTTCTCTCAAATTCAGAGCAAAAGTTTACTTTAAGCAAACAAGTTAACACAGATTTACTGGACGTTGAAATAAATACACACACACACACACAGACACAAAGGCAATGAGATGCTGGGGACCCACCCGACTAACAATTTTTAACTTCTCAAGCTTTTGAACTGCATCTTCCACATCAAAGTTACAGCTCTCATCAAACTGTTCTTTGATTAGTTCCTCACACCGCATGTCCAAATCCTGTTCCACATTCCCACAAAGTTAAGCCACGTTACCAAAGGATTTTACAAGAGTGCAATGGCAGAATAATAAAAATAAAAGATCTGTATAAATTGAATTGTTACAGATACCATACTTGGAATTTGATTCATTATCAAATTGTTAGATCCATTGGTTGATTTGGTAAATCATGTATTATAAAAGAATTGCAGAGAAATATAAAAAATAATGGCAAAGTTATACCAATGTAAATACTCCCTCACTCATGAGAGATTTTAGGAACAAGAAAAATAGATGATGCATCATACCTCACTAGTAGCTTTACCTTGCTCCATCAGTATATAGAACGCAATAATTACCTCCTTCACCTGCAATTATAGGTTAGAGATCAACTCATCAACAGTACAAAAATATTCCAGACAACAATAATTCTGGCAAGGATATTCAGAAAGAATGGATACAACAGAATGTCCAACTTACTTCCTGTTGAATGACATCATCACACAGGTGAAGAAGAGTGCCCTTTCCACTATCCAGTTGTTTGTCATACATGGACTGTGTAATTAAATTCTGATAGACAGCCAAGTTTTGCTGAAACCTGAAGGGAAATTCAAATCCAAATTGACAGTTTAAAAATCTGAAACAACCTAAAGAAACAGAACCACCAGATTATCATCATGCAGCCTGCCTATCTCATGTGGCTGTCTAACTTGATAATATTAAAGCAAAGCCCTTGGTTTGGAATTAGACCTTTACCTGAGAGTTGTACCCAAGATTAGGATTAACACAGGAAGAGTATTAAGAAGGAAAATCAAGTTACCAAGTCATGTTTGAATGTTTCCACATGGACAAATCAAATGGTGTGCATCAGACATTGTGATGAAATCACGGCTTTTACATAACGAAAGTGAATAACAACACATTACCAATGACGAACAAATTTACAAGATCAGATTGATAAGAAAACACGTACGTGAAGTATGTCTTAGCAATGTAACCAACCACTGTTGATACAATGGCAAAAAGGACCCAGAGATCAGCCGTAGGCCTTTCAACTGAACTAAACACAGCAACCTATACACAAAGACAAAGTAAGGGCACTTCCTCAAATTGATACTAGGCAGAAAGAGAAGATGGAGGTTAAAAAAAGAGTCAGAAAATGTCATTTCTTAACTGACCAGCCCAACCACAGCAGAGCCAAGGAACTTGACCCAGTCCATTGGAGTCAATCCTGGATTTTTCTTTTCAGGCTGTTAAAGGCAGAAGACAAGAATATCACACACCAGGTCATAAATTATACAGAAACTTAAAGGTCATGTTTGGTTGGGAGTAATGGATATCCCTTGGTCAAACTGTAAAAATAGGGCAAAATTAAGAAGCTTAACAAGCTAGGAACACCTATTCTTTAAGATTATTGAACTACTAGATGATGAAGGAAAAGCCATTACCACCTTCCCTCAAGGAATAGGTAATCCTTACTTTTTCCCTAATCTAAAAGGAAATTATCAAAATATCAAGGAATATCTGTTCCTAGCTTTTTCCGTTCATTTTTAATTTTATCTTATTTTTATGGTTTGACAAAGGAATAGCCATTAGTCCCAACAAAACATAATCAAACAGTAAAAAGCTACAGAAGAAACATGAGTGACTCACAAGAACTATTTCCATATCAGCCATTGGAATATTTTTGAAATGTTTCACATATAATCCCCGTTCTGTATTTTGTGTTGTACTTGCCCTCCTGGAAATTCAATATTCTTTTTAGATATCCATGAATTTATTTTTCAAGGTTCTTACAAGACTAGTTGAAAAAGAATCAACTCAAAAGAATAGTATAGTCACCTTTCTAAGGACAAAAATTACAATAAAAATTTTAGGTTTTAGTATTTTCCATAGAATTTTCTGTCATACATCTCATTGTGCCCCTAAGCACTTTTCAACATATGGCTCAGAAATTGATATTTTTAAACTTTTAATAAGAATCAATAGTGGTTTCAGGGCAATGCTGTTTACAACAAATTATTTCTAATGTCAACAAGAAGCCAGTAAGATAATAATAGATTCAGGCAGTACCTGTAAACAACAATCATCCTGTCAAAAGTAGGTTCTTGGATTGTGGTCCTGCTCAGTAGATTCTTAATACTGGTGCAAAGCATAAGAAAGTTATTGAGTGACAACAATAAGAACAAACGACTATAGAGTATAACATGTGGGCATATGTGAGTGTGTCAGTGTGGAGAGATGTGGCATGTTAGAACAAAAAGAAGAGAACGAAGATGATAATTAAGGAACAAAAGAAAAAGGCATAGATTTTCTCAAAAAGATCTTATGCAAAGTGAGAACATTTAGATTTTGAGGAGGTAAGCAATAATGATTGCATAAACAGGATGGTCCATCAATCACATACCAAATTTCATCATTCAAATGTCAAAAAGACCCATAGCAGGAAAGATCACTGTAAAAACAGGTTAATAAAAGAGTCTTTAACCATATGCAATTTGCAAACTTCAAGATTCATGTTATTCCTAAAAAAAATTTTAAGATTATTAAAAGTCAAGAAGATGATAAAAAAGTTCAGACTGCTTAGAAAAATGCAGGCATACTCCAGATGCATGGAACACATTTTCATAAACTGCAATGACATAATATCAAGACACCATTTACAACCTCAAATCCATATTTTCAAGTCGTTTCCGCTCAACTACTACAGCTTCTCCACTAGCTTCAGAGGAAATTTCATCATCCTTCTTTGGGTCTTTTTTCTGTTGTTCGCTTGATCTTCCGGTAAAAAGTTTTTGAAGTCTGCAAAGAGCATAACCCTGGGAAGTCTTAAAGGAAGAAGAAATGTATAAAGCAATTAAGCACACAGAGATTTTTTTGAAAAAAAATAAAGTTTGTGTTGATGAAAGAAAAAATAATGCTGCAAGCAAATCGTATCAAAGTCTCAATTTTACATAGTAAGTTGACAGTTTATGAACTCTAAATAATTTCTTGCTGTGAAATGGCTACATCTTTTGAGTAATTCTGCTTTGACCAACTCTAAAGTAACTCCATTTACATTCTACCTTTCTAAGGATCAACAGGAAACATAATATTCTTTTTTGGCTAACATAAAACAAAATTCACTCGGACTGGCATGCCCCCAATCAATCACAAAAGGGAGATAACATACTTACCCAGTTTTTCTTAACAAAAATCTCCAAAGACGGGCAATGATTACATCAACCTTCTCCATGAAAAAATAATCGGTTGTTTTATCAATTCCAATCCCACGTCTGAAGATAATATACTGAAGATAAGAAGCAAAATGAGGTTAATTTCAATAGGTATGCTTGACAATGCACTCCCATCCACACACACAAAGTTCAACTGGCAGTCTACCTTCAAACATATAGCAAGGAGAAAGACCTAAAAGTTACAGGATCTAAGGTTTTTCTTATTAAGCAGTACCAAAGTTCATCTTTGTTACTAAACAGGGCTTTTTTTCTACCCCACAAACTCAGTACTAATCAAGCAAGCAAGCCTTGTCTATTTACTGTTTTGTTGAATTATCAGATAAGATCCACAGTTTCTAATGAAAACTGCATGTAGGTAAGGAGTTTTGTTTTAGTGAAAAACATAGGAGGTGCCAGGCAAGCAAGTGCCTAGGCATTCTAATCCCCAGCAACTGGCTAAAGATCATCCACTCCCCCTTCACTCATTTGTGAAATGCAAGAAACAAGGACCTATGCTACACACGTTTATGCTTAAATAAGATTAAGAGCAATACCTTATCAGCAAAGTCTGGGAGGCCATCATGCGGATGCTTTTCAAAATAACTCTTTAAGAGCTTCTTGTCAAGCTAGATTCAAAAAGAAGAAAACATAAATAAATGTATATGTATAAAAAAAAAGGATATATAAACAAAAAAAAAAACAAGACATACGTTGGATACACACATATTATAAAACAAGAAATTGTAGAGAAAGAAAAGAAGCCACAAACCTTAGATTCATCAACCATAATGGGAAGATTTAGAAGATACTGGCCAGAGCGTGCAACTTCAATCTCATCATTTGTGGTGATTTTAAAGTTGCTCTTCTCCATTACCTATATAAAATAAAAAGGAAAAA